GAGGACATCCAGATGGCCAACAGACACATGAAACGATGCTCAGCGTCCCTCATCATTAGGGAAATACAAATCAAAACCACACTGAGATACCACCTCACGCCAGTCAGAGTGGCTAAAATGAGCAAATCAGAGAACACGAGATGCTGGTGAGGATGTGGAGAAACGGGCACCTTCTTGCACTGTTGGTGGGAATGGAAACTGGTATAGCGCCTCTGGAAAACAGTGTGGAGGTTCCTCAAAAAATTAACAATCGAACTCCCCTATGAACCAGCAATAGCCCTGCTAGGAATTTACCCAAGGGATATAGAAATGCTGAATCATAGCAGCACATGGACCCCAATGTTCATAGCAGCACTCTTAACAATAGCCAAAACATGGAAAGAGCCTAAGTGTCCATCAACGGACAAATGGATCAAGAAGATGTGGTTTATCTATACCATGGAATACTACATGGCAATGAGAAAGAATGAAATGTGGCCATGTGTAGCAACATGGATGGACCTTGAGGGTGTTATGCTGAGCGAAATAAGTCAGGCAGAGAAGTACAAATATCATATGTTTGCACGTATAGGAGGATTAGGAGGAACTTAACAGAGGACCAAGGGGGAGAAGAAGGGGGGAAATGGTGGGGGAAAGGGAGAGAGGCAAACCATGAGAGACTCTTGAATGTTGACAAAAACTGACAACTGATGGATGTAGGGGGGAGGGGGATGGGCATGGAGGAGGGCACTCGTGGGGATGAGCACTGGGTGTTATGTGGAAACTAATTTGACAATAAACTATTTGTAAAAAAAATAAAAAAAGTGTCCAAGTTGCTTTCCATATAATATCCAGTGCTCATTCCCACAAGTGCCATCCTCCATGCCCATCACCCCCCTTCCCCTCTTCCACCCCCATCAGCCCTCAGTTTCTTCTCAGTGTTCAAGAGTCTCTCTACCCCCAACTATGTTTTCCCAGTTTCCTCACCCATGGTCCTCCGTTAAGTTTCTGCTTATCCACTTATACGTGAAAACATATGGTATCTGTCATCTGCCTGACTTACTCGCTCAGCATAACACCCTCGAGTTCCATCCATGTTGCTACAAATGGACAGATTTCATTCTTTCTTATTTCCAAGTAGTATTCCATCGTATAGATAAACCACCTCTTCTTGATTCATTTGTCAGCTGATGGACATTTAGGCCCTTTCCGTAATTTGACTATTGTTGAAAGCACTGCTATAAACATTGGGGTGCATCAGCACTCCTGTATCCCTCGAGTAAATTCTTACCAGTGCTATTGCTGGGTCATAGGGGAGTTCTATTTAATTTTTTGAGGATCTTCCACTATGTTTTCCAGAGGCGCTGCACTACTTTACATTCCCACCAACAGTGTAGGAGGGTGCCGGTTTCTCCACATCCTTGCCAGCATCTATAGTCACCTGATGTGTTCATTTTAGACACTCTGATCGGCGTGAGGTGGTATCTCAGTGTGGTTTTGATTTGTATTTCCCTAATGATGAGGGACGCTGAGCATCGTTTCATGTGTCTGTTGGCCATCTGGATGTCCTCTTTGGAGAAGTGTCTGTTCGTGTCTACTGCTCATTTCTTCACTGAATTATTTGTTTTTCATGTGTGGAGTTTAGTGAGTTCCTTGTATATTTTGGATATGAACCCTTTATCCAACTTGTCCTTTGCAACTATCTTTTCCCATTCCTTCCGTTGACTATTAGTTTTACTGATTGTTTTCCTTGCTGTGCGGAAGATTTTTATCTTGATGAGGTCCAAGTAGTACTTTTTTGCTCTTGATTCTCTTGCTTTTGGCTATGTGTAAAGTAAAAAATTGCTGATTGAGGTCAAGGAGGTTGTTTCCTGCTTTCTCCTCTAGGGTGTTGATGGTTTCCTGTCGCAAATTAAGGACCTTTATCCATTTTGAGTTTATGTTTGTGTATGGTGTGAGAAGATGATGTAGTTTCATTCTTCTGCTTGTTGCTGTCCAGTTCTCCCAGCACCATCTGTTAAAGAGGCTGTCTTTTTTCCATTGGATATTCTTTCCTGCTTTGTCAAAGATTAGTTGGAAATACAATTTTGGGTTCAATACTGAGTTGTCTATTCTATTCCATTGGTCTATGTGTCTGTTTTTGTGCCAATGCCATACTGTCTTGATTATGGCAGCTTTGTAGTAGAAGCTAAAGTCTGGGATGGTGATGCCTCCCATTTTGGTTTTCTTCTTCAATATTACTTTGGCTCTTTAGGGTCTTTTGTGGTTCCACACAAATTTTAGGATACTTTGTTTTAGCTTTGAGACGAATTCAGGACCAATTTTGATTGGGGTTGCATTCAATGTGTAGATTGCTTTGAGCAGTAATGACATTTAAACAATATTTATTCTTCCTATCCATGAGCATAGAATGTTTTTCCATTTCTTTGTGTCTTCTTGAATTTCCTTCTTATGTTTTCTATGGTTTTCATTATATAGAAGTCTTCTATTTTTGGTTAAGTTTACTCCTAGATATTTTATGTTTTTAAATTTTTTAAAATGTTTTATTTTTGAGAGAGATTTAGAGACAGTGTGAGCAGGGGAGAATCAGAGAGAGAGGGAGATACAAAATCTGAAGAAAGGTTCTAGATTCTGAGCTAACAGTTAGCACCGAGCCCGATGCAGGGCTTGAACCCATGAACTGTGAGATCATGACCTGAGCCGAAGTTGGATGCTTAACCAACTGAGCAACCCAGGTGCCTCTATGGTTTTTTTGTGCAATTCTGAATGGGACCAGTTTCTTGATTTCTCTTTCTGTTGTTTCATTATCGTTGTATAAAAATGCAACCGATTTCCTATGTTGATTTTGTACCCTGCATCTTTGATGAATTCATGGGTCAGTTCTAGTAGGCTTCCGTTGGAGTCTGTCAGATTTTCATTGTAGAGTATCATGTTGTCTGCAAAAAGTGAAAGTTTGACATCTTATTTGATTATTTTTTTTTTAATTTTTTAAAATTTTTATTTATTTCTGAGAGAGATACAGCATGAGCATAGAAGGGTCAAAGAGAGAGGGAGACACAGAATCTGAAACAGGCTCCAGGCTCTGAGCTAGCTGTAAGCACAGAGCCTGACGTGAGGCTCAAAACCACCAACTGTTAGATCATGACCTGAGCCTAAGTCGGACACTTAACCAACTGAGCCATCGAGTAACCACTTCTTTGAGTATTCTGATGTCTTTTATTTCCTTTTGTTGTCTGATTGATGATGCTAGGACTTCCAGCACTATGTTAAACAACAG